TACACAAACTTTAAACTTTAATTAATTAAAAGTTTTTTAATAATTTTAAAAAATTTTCTTAACAAAGTTAATAAAGTGGATCTTTAAAAATATATTTTACTTAGAAAGTATATTGTTAAAATTAATATTTAAAAATTTATTAAAAAATTAGAGTTTAAAAAAAATGAACACAAGCAAATTTGCCTGTTTTAAAAAATAAATAATAAATCTGTAAAAGGGATTTTTAAAATAATTATTTGTTATAAAGTTATTAGACATTTAACACTTGCTAAAAATTAAATATTTTTTGCTATCCTGCACTATAGATATGAAATATTGTGAAAAAATTTGCATTTTAAAAAAATTTTAAAAATATATATAATAAATTTCAAAATATTTCAAAAAATAATATTTTCAAAAATTTTTAGTAAAAATTTTAAAAAATTTTAAAATATATTTTGCAATATTTTATTCAAAATAATTTTGAAATATTTTAATGCAAAATATTTTAAATATTATCAGTTATACAATATATTATAAAGTAAAATTTTTTTTTTGATGTTAAGATGACCTCTTGGCCATCTTCTTTTATTCAGTTATTAGTTAACTTTACTGTACAATAAGCTCCCACTTTTAGGGTAGCTCATATCATATTGTTAACCTTTAAGAAAAGGCTGTTTTGGCTCATATCTTCGCAACTACCAGTCTAATTAAGATAAAACTACTACTATTCGAATTAGCTTATCGAGATGAATCTAAAGATGGTGAGATTATCCAAATCTAATCACAGAAAGCTAAGATTGGACCAAAAATATGATTTGATCAAATGTTCTATATGTAGATCACATATGGCACAACCTGATTAGCTAATGATCAACTGCGCGAAATGTTTTACATGTAGCATATCTATTACATATCATTTTTATAGCATCTATATTATTTATTTTACAAATTATATATATATTATTTGTCTTATATGTAGTATCTGTATTATATATATTGTCGGGGATGATGCTGAAATCGGATAATGCTGAAATTTGGGGACCTTAATTTGAAAATATCAACCCTACTAAAGTCCATCTATACTCTTTTATTATAAATATACTCTAAAGATTAAATACTTGAAAAAAAGAGCTACTATCTATATGACCTATGTTAGTAGAAAGCCAATATCTGATGTATTTGAAGAATTCACAGATGAAGATAAATGAATCGATAAAATCGAAAAACAAGATGAAGCAGAAACTTACCATACTGAAGAAAAAGACCAAGATGATGACCTCTTATTCTACAATCCTTGGACTGATATTGTTACTAACAACAACCCTGCAGTATATGTTGTTTTAACTGCTGAAGTTCCTACAACTCCTCTTTTAATTGTTAATACTTCCTTGAATGGACAACAAAGAGCAGAAGCTAAAGAAATTCTTCTAAACAACCACCAAATCTTTGCTGAAAAT